GCGTGACAAAAATCTGCGATCACATTGGACTTGCCTTCAACAAACACCAAACGAATCTTAGCAGCTGTAGAGATTTCTGTGATCCATCTCATTTGCTTTGGAGATAACGATGACTGGGAGTGAAATAGTTGAACTAACGGCTTATGATCACTTTCAACAACGATCTCTAATGATTGATCAATAAAATATTGAAATTTGTTTAAAGCCCATTTGATAGAATATAATTCTTTCTCAGTGGTGGACCAATTGCGTTGGAAACTATTGAGAGCTTGAGAACGAAAACCAATTGGAAAATAACAACCATTTGCTTGCAATTGTAACAAAGCAGCACCAACAGAATGATTACTTGCATCACATGCTAATTTCAATGGTTTACCAGCTTGATATGGATGTAAAGTGAAAGCAGAAAGTTCCAAACTTTTCAATTTCTCAAAGATTTGTTGATGTTCAGAAGTCCATTTAAAAACAACACCTTTTTTCAACAACTGATGGAATGGTTCAGCTAGCTCAGCAAAACCTGGGAGAAACTTATGAACATAAGCCAAATGACCAAGATACCTTTGAAGTTCAGACTTAGTAAGAGGTGGTGGACAATTCTTGATAAGAGAAGCAGTTTTATCAGAAGGAGAAATTGAAAGAACACCATCATTACCAACAAAAAAATTGTGCCCCAACCATTTTACTTCTTTCGCGAAAAAATTGGATTTTGATAAATTGACATGCAACCCATTTTCTTTCAATGTCAGCAAAACCTGTTTCACATTTGCAACATGGTCGTCCAACGAGTCAGAGACGATGAGAATATCATCCATGTAAACCCGGGCAAACTCATGATGCGGAAACAACAACTCACTAATCATACGCTGGAACAATTCCGGAGCGTTGACCATACCTAAAGCAAGCACCTGAAATTGAAAAAACCCAAATGGCGTTTTGAAAACTGTTGCAGCAGCAGATGAAGGTGTGAGTAAGATGTGATGATATGCAGCTGTGATATCAAGAGTGGACACGTATTTACCGTGAAGATTCATGGTTAATTCATCAAAAGTGGGAAGTTGAGCAGGGATAACCACAGTAAGTTGATTGAGCTGACGATAATCCACCACAAGACGTTTTTTGGAACCATTAGTAACAACAAAAGGAACAGAATAATGAGAGGTTGGTGGAACAGAAGTGATAAAACCTTGATGAAGTAACCTGTTGATTTCTTGTTGAAGGAAAGCTTGATCTTCAAAAGTCATATGAATCAATGGACGAGCAGAAAGATCTGAGATGGGTGAGTGAAGAAGTAATTCATAATCATAAGGTGAAGAACGAGGAAGTGATGGTTCATCCTGAAGAATAAGGGGCAAAAATTCCTCATCAACTAGAGACTGAAAGTTGGAAGAAGTGGCAACGGAAGAGGAAGATGGAGGAGGTGGAGGTTGATGTTGAGCCAAAAGAGCAGTGACATCCAAATTATGGGAGGCAATGAAATCCATCCCAAGTGCCAATAACCCAGGTTTCTCGATGACCGCAAATGTGTGGTGGTATATCACCGACGAAGGCGTAATATCAGCCAATGTGAAACCAAGAGTAGCTAACAAGTTGGGTTCGGTATGGGATGTTGCTGTAACAGTGGAAACCAGACGATTGGGTTGAGTTGGATCTTGATAAACAAGTGCATCCAATGTGTCAACAAGATCTTGGGAAATGAAAGAATCGGTGGAAGCTGTATCAATCAGAGCTGGCAGATGAGTACCATTTGCAAAATGTAACTCGCAAGAAGGTAAGGAAGATTTAGCACCAAGAAGAGCAGTATGAAATCTGACAGCATGACGAGCATAAGGGGATGGAGCAGCAACCGAATCAGGACCAGAGTGTGAGGAAGATGATGAAGCTGGAGCAACAGGAGGTGAAGAATGAGGACGTGAAGCTGGAACAACAGGAGGTGAAGGGTGAGGACGTGAAGCTGGAGCAGCAGGAGGTGAATCATTCTTCAAAGAGATAACAAAACCATCCAGATGACGCATACGGGCAAGTTCAAAAGCCAAAAGATTAAAATCTTGATAACGTGAAGCCAGTTTTCTAAAATAAGTCTTCCGTTTAACAGATCTCAAACACCCATAAGTAAGAAGAGTCTCCATATATGAGGAACAATCACTAACAAATGACAAATAGTAGTCTTTGGACATTTCAGCAAACAATTGACGCAAGGCAGAAGAAGATAAAACCAAAGGGACCTCAGAAACGTAAAACACTTTTGCATGGGTGACATGGCTCTCAACTTGTTCGTCTGACAGTTTGTGTGCTAACAAAAAACGTTTCAGTTGAGTCACATTGTGAAATTTGTGCAGGTTGTCTTCAAAAGAGTGCATAATTGGTACATTGGTGTCTGGGAGAGCACGCACAAGAGCAGCAAAAACGGAGGAAGAATCAAAAGCTGGTGACTTGGAGTGAACCACAGGGATAAACCGATTTAGAAACTCATTGATGGAAGGCTGGGATTTCAAATCAAATGATGCAAAGTAATAACGCACTGGGTTAGAGCGTGATGGGAACAAAAACAATTGAGAAAGAGCACGAAAACTTGACATCAAGAAAGAGTGAGATGGTGAAGGTAAAGTTTGAGTCTGATTGAAGGTACCTTGACTAACAATTTTAACGGTGACTTGGTTGTTGGAAGATTTGCGTGATTTTGAGGGCCAGATCTTGACATAAATCCAATAAAAGACCAGAAACCAAAAGATAAGCTGAAAATTGAGATGACCATAGATCCAAACTAAAAGATGATAATAATCCTGAGTGTGAGTGTTGACTTTTGCAATAACACGCGAAGAATCAGCAATGACAGTCCGAATAGAGTCATATTCTTTTGGAGTAACAACCTTCATCATGTGTGACAAAATTAAAGAAGCTATTGAACTAGTGACAACTCTCAAAGATGTCCAAATGGCAGCAGAATTTATCTTCATAATGTCTAATCCAACACTTAATTTGAAAAAGATGAGGTAAAGAAAATCAGACCAGATAGAGTTGAAAGTAACAGTTGATTGATTAGAAGTCACAGCAGCAAGGGTAGCAGAAGAATTAATAGAGTGTGAAGCACGAAGGGAAATATCAATACTGGATGGAACAAGAGCAGTAGTTGGGTGCGATGGTAACACTTTATTTAATCCTATAGCGGCTGAACGC